TGATCGAGGCGCGATTCCATTGTGCACCGGACTGCTGCTCGAGCCTGAGTGAGCCGTCGTTGATGTAAATTCGCCAGATGACGTCACTTTGATGAGGCCGTAAGAGGACCGAGTGTGTGCTGACAGGATGTATAGGTCCCCGGTGTCGGTCCGTCATTGTGTCGGTCGGTAGGGTAGTGTAGTGACGGCCGGTCTCTGAGACACATGTACCCAGAGGCGGGCGTCGGGCGGACCTTGACCTGGTCACTTCAAGATGGCGTCCACAGTGATAGTTCCCGGTGCGTATTTGTGACGTAACAGAAATGTTAGTGCGTCACTAGACATTGCTATGGCTAGCGACCAAAGTTTGTCGTTTTCGTGGACATTTGTTCAGGGTCTGTTTTAAGTTATTACTGAATATCTTGGTGTGGAGTATTGAATTATTTGCATTTGCAGACAAGCTCTCAAGAGGTAAAAAAGGCTGGTTGTTAGCCTGTTCGTATCAGTTGAAGTGAAGGTGTTGAAAGTTGTGTCACAAGTAGCGGAGTGTGCCACGAGTATAGTTGCAGGAAGTGGAGTGTGGAGTTGGGTTGTGTGAAGCAAACCAACCTGTATGTATGCGGTCGAAACTCAAAGGTTACGAACTTTATATGTCAGGTCACAAGGATGAATTGAGCAACTATCATATGCAGGTGGTACGATGTCCTTTAGATATCATGGAAAGACAGGTAAAGACCAGAATTCCTTCGCATTTTGTTCCCCCTGCATGAGTAATTTTGCGGCCAAGCTCATCGCAGTGGCTATTATTTAGCGAGGTATTTTTGTTGCTTTTGAAGGAAACGTATGACCTCCCTCCCCGCATCCCCATAGCTGTCTGTAGTTTCATTCATTTCATTCTCCGGTAGTGTCTGTGTGTTGTTTGCTCTCGACAAACGATGCCGCCGACCTCGTCACTCCTCTCTGTGACTGCGCTACTCCCACATATCTGTTTTCGCCATCTCTCGACACACAGGCCGCCAGAATAATGCATCGGGATGCTGAGGGAAGACTTCCTCAAACGGCAGAGTCAAAGAGGATTACAGCAAACGAATGTCGGCAATTTGTTCGGCTTGAACTTTGAACCAAGGCCGCGGTTGTCACATAAACTGATAGCGGCCGGATCCGGTCGGGAGATGTGTATTTCTGGCGGTTGAAGAACGCCCCGTCAGCAGGCGCCCACCCCGCCCGTCGTTTCGTTCAGACCCAGTCACCAAACTGTCTCTGTCGGTCGTCTGCTGTGTCCATTCGTCTGGATGTCGTAGGCGACGTCTGGGTGGGGTTCGGTCCTGTGACCGCCATTGGTGATTTCGTATGTGAAATGGTATGTTGATTGACATGTCTGAAAAGGTCGCCTGTGCATTTCCCGTACTCTCGAGTTGTAGCCACTCAGAGTAAATAAAGTATAGACGTCTGTGTTGACCTATAGACGTTTGTATTGACCTACACCGTATTCGTTTGAATGGAGCTGTGGCTGTCAATGAAACATTATTTAACTGTGATGGCCGCAATAAGCATTGGTTATTTGTCTGTGTGGTAGTTTGTGACACGCACAGAGCTCGGCCGAAAATTTCAGAGAATTTCAACCCTCCGCTGTTGATCTTGACGGGTCATGGCGGCTCGAGGGACGCTCTGTGCAGTTCACTCATGGTTACCTGGCCGGTCATCGTGCCTTCTCCGATTTTGCTTCCTCAATGGTCATGTGTCCATGGGGTCTGGCAATGCCGCCGTACTTGCTTTGTGCTCCGATCTGAGTGACAAGAGGCCGGACAGCGGCCTTAGCATCGCTGTGGAGGAACACTGTGGTGGAGCTGGACACGAGACCAGCTGAAAGGCAGCGCTGGCTACATCGTGAATATGGCCTGATTAGGTGTATGGATGCTTTTTTACAAGCTGCGTCCACCATCGCACTGCCACCAAGGTGGTGTTTTCCATAGGCTGGCGACGAGCGGCCTGTATGGTGGTTGATTTATGTTCCGGTAGGTACTGTCTTGAAAGTACCATCCACAATCCCCCCCCCTCAGCGCTTTCGTCCTGCATAATCGACTGTCTCACGAGGGACTGGGAGGGACTGTCTCGATGCAACTAGTAATGCGCTGACTACACGACATTTTTATCAGCTTCCTTCTTCCATAAGAGTGCGTCCATGAATTACACAAAGGGTGGTTTACAAGGCTATAGAACTCCTGGTTTAACTGAAACGAGTGTGGGACTGGCCTGAGGGGGAAAGGGCATCATATACCTGAAAATAGCGTCTATTTCATGTTTTCATTATCTGGAGACCTGGGACAGGTATGTGTATAAATGCAGAGTAACTTTTTATTGCGTGAAGTCGCGACATTTAAGTTCTCCTGTGTCCCCGTTGCTGCGTAGTATAGCTCTAGGGGGCTGATCATTTAAACTGTGGCTAGTGTTGCTAATTATGCGTCGAATTTGCTATAATATTTGTCATAGCATACATATAACAAAATTTTGCTATAATTTGCTGTTAGCTGGTCATATGCCTTGTATCGTCCTCGATCTACCCGAGCTCCTTGATTCTGCGGCTGCTCCCGAATGGCCGTGGCGGTAGAGGCTGTATTGTATATATACAATACCGGCGTCCACTTCTGCCGCCTGGACACCTACAAAGTACAGACGGATGAGGGCGGTCGGCGCTTTGTCCGTATGCGCACCAGGAACGGGTGTTTCCATTGGCCGTGCCCGTATTTAAGCTGATTAGCGTTCCTGGCGCCGAGCCGCTGCACGGTAGGCGATCGGGCCGGTCTAGCCTCGCGAAACCTCAAAGACACTTTTTTCCGAAAATTGGAAAACAACGCATACTAGTCGACAGAAAATTCATCAAAGATTACGATTAGTGCATTTGCATGGCTCAGGAGACATTTTTTCGTAGACAAAAGTGTCGTTAAAGACAGCGTTCCGTAACACTTCATAAGGGGGATAATCACAGCCGATTTTTACGCTCTTTGAATATTTTGCGGAACGATGAAATTGCTAGGTGTTGAGCATCCATTTTGCATGGAAAGTGAAATTTAGGTGTTTAGACGATTCCGCCATAGAAAGCAAGTAGACAAAATCAGTTCAAAATGTCTTATAATTAGGTTAATTTTTTACATTTTTTTTCTACCACTGAACATTACGTTCACTGAATTAACCAAGCCCAGCAAAAAAAGTTTTACGAGGATGAACTGAAAATAATGCTGCATCGCATGCACTAAGACACTATCTATTAGGGGAGCCAGTGAAAATTTGCAGCAACTTGCAGCCCTAGCATCCAGACACTTTTTTCTTCTAAGGGTTGGCCGTGGCTTGGTGCACTTGAGCACAAGTGGTAAATGCCCCAAAGGGTGTTTTCGCGATAGCTCAAAACACCCAGGCAATAGAGAGCTGCAACCTGGCATACCTGACCTTTGATGCACGCTGGATCTTGTGACACCAGCCGCACTTTCAAGTCAGGTCAGGTCACTGACCTATGACGTCATAAATGAACCTCTGCACGATCCTCAGATGTCGCAACCTTGCAACGCTCTCAGTGCCAGAGTAACTTTCACAGGGAGGTGAGACTTGCAGGACTTATTGTCCTTCAGAGGTCTTACAACTTGTATATCCCAGATTTTTTCCTAAATGTCACATAAAGTCAGGTTGGTCACGTGACCTCACCTATAAGTCAATGGGGAAATATGAAAACTGTTATTTTGGCGCCAGGAATGATATTCAATTGTCTCAAATACATGGCATCGTTACTTCATGCACTCCTTGCAAGATCTGATGCTGCATTTTTGCATTGTTGACCTTGCATGACGTCATTTATGACGTCACTAGGGTCATACGAGTTTTTCGTCAATAACTCCCAATCAAATTGAGCTAGAGAGTCGACAAGGTCACCAATGGACTCCGTAAGACCTGCCGAATCGAATGATATGCGATATGACCTCCTTCGATCAACTTCGTGATTTGAAGACCTCTGACCTGACCTTGACTCGAGGTCAAGGCCAGGTTGACCTTACGGTGGCCTCACCTAAACAAAAGTATACCATTCGACGCGCCTGAGCAAGGCGAACACGGCGATGTCAAAATCGTGGTTCTGCGGCCATTTTTTGCGAAGTTATTTACCAAAAACCAAACCCGCTGCTTGGGTCACGTTATGAAATGGGGCCTTGCCGGGCGAGATTTACGCTGTTTCATGAGATGTATAAATTGGTAGGGCATGATCGATTGAATAAAAAATTGGTTTGGAAGCAATCTTCTATGGAGGTACACACCATTTCAATGTCCTACCCAGCTCATATCGTCATAAATTTCGACCTACCCTCAAAAGTATTCATGCGTTATTCGAACAGCAATTAGGCAAATTGCAAGCTCGCCACAGAGCACAAATCCTTTAAGAGATAGTCCTTATTTGAAACATATGCTCATTGGATATTCAAGAAGGTTGCTCCTAAATATTGTGGTTCTAGCTTCAAAAACATGGATGTTATGAATGCCGATAGGTTTCGCGAGGCTACACCGGCCGGATCGCCCACTGTGCGCTGGGCCGTCAAGCGGCTTCGCAGCCGCGGCTCTAGATAAATTCGGTCCAAACGCTTTGCATTTACAGCTTAGCGGAGCCGGAATCCACACTAATCAGAGTTCGTTGTGCATGTGGTAATCCGTGGTGTCCGGTCGGGAAGTTCTTGATGCTGATCAGAATGTAGTGGCTGGGGTTGTACGGATATGCTTGAAAGAGCCACGCCAGGATAAACTTCTCAACAACATTATGCGCCCTTGAAAGGGATAACTGCCACATCCGCAAGGTAGCCTAGTCACTAAATGTGGTGTGTTCGTCATCTCAATGTGAAAACTTTACGTATTGTGTGCTGACAGATCTATGCATCTAGTTCCTACGTCCTTTCTTCCTTGGTTTTTCGTATCGCTCAAATGTTCATCAGTGTTGTGGCTTCATTCGTTGCGCATACTGGTTCACTCATACGTTTTCTCTTTCGCAGGGTACCTTCTATTCAAGGAATACTGTGAGCAGTGTGTGGTGGATCCCGTACCACAACTTAACTTCTATGAAGAGGTAAGTGACCTTATATCTGTGGCAGATCTTCCTGTCATCCCAGGGAGATGAAGTTGTCCGTTTCAGTCCTGAACATTGTAGATTAAAGCCTAAGTTCATTACGATGTTTATCATCTGTATGAGCTAGCTAGCTGTATTGGTTATTGGTAATTGGACCGTCCCGCGCGCTTTCCATTCCAATTTTCGTCTCTTGTGTTGGTGCTTTTCTCTAGTTAGCCGTCTGATGTTTCTTCTACGAGTTATGATGAACACGTCTGATCGGACTCGATGCTGATTTACGAGAGGGTATGTTGATCCCGAGCCAGTTAAAACAGTTGTCATTCTTTACTGAATTCCGATAACTTCACGGGTGAATGAACTGCGGACACAACTGGACGAGATGGAAAACTGCACGGAATAACTAAAAGAAGAAAAACCGAATGCCTTGAATGTTCGTCTCCTTTCAATTCTCCTAATGCGTCTTTAGTTACATAAATCACCCTGATGTCGAATCCCTCGTAATAAAACAAAGTTATTGCCGTATCCTAGTAATGCGATTTCTACTTAATCAGTGCGCAGTGTAGGGAGGAAAGGTAATATGGATCAGCGCCACTGGCTGTTCTGGATGTTGACTGCGTGCGACGTTCTATTTGTAACGCATGTGTATTCTGATAACATTAGGTAATTCTTTTTAAGTGATGAACGTCGAGCTCACTTTGTACTAAACTGGACAGCAGCTGCAGTATGTGTTCGCTTCTGCTTTTGTTTTGATGCCACTGCCCTATGCACTGCCTAAATTTAATGCAGATGATAGCCAGATTCTGATTTATTTGGGATAAAATGTTATGATTTATGGGTGACACTTTTTGAAGAAAGGTAGACGAAAACGTTGATACTAGAACAAAGTTTCAGACTTTGCCCCATACTCATAACTAAGGAAGCTTCAAAACCCTTATATGATTAAGATAGTCATACCTTACGGCACGCGTCACTGAACAGTTATCATTCAACATCAGACCCAAAATGTATTCTTCAGTGACGTATGATCCGGCTTGTAGGTATACAGAAGGGTGGAACGACCAGGACGTTGCCGCCTTCTGTAGGGTGTGCTGTGTGCACTGTGTGAGTGTGAAGCCCTGCCTTATGCAGCGTCATATAGCGCCACTTTACCCGGAAAGGGCCGGGCCCGGCGTGAATCGTCTTGTTGACGTGGTGAATGAGCTGTTTCGGACAGTTTTTGTAGGCTTGGAGACCTTTAGAATCGGTGGCGATGTCATGCTTTTTATGGGTGGTCGTATGGTGGTATATGGTGTTCCATTTGCATTTTCACTGTGTCCTGCTCCTCCATTCATTGACGATGAACAATGCCTTAGTATGTTTGCTGGCTGACATTCTACAAAAAAGTAGATACTTATTGGGCACCCTCTTAAAGATATTTCGTCTCAAGGCAACCCTTAATTTCATTCGACTTGAGGCAGTGTTTTTGGCCAACTGTTGCGCTGTGCTGACCGGCACATGTGTCGTTCTCGATGTATGGTCACCTGCACCAGTCACGCCCGGAAGAGGGGCGCTCCAGAGGCATTACGGCCGGTACTTCCCATTGTTCGGGCGCAACAGGGCATGTGGAAGACACAAACCGGTTGCTGAAGCTCACCTGGATAAAAGTGGCTGTGTTGACGGCGGTGTCGTGTTGCCTGCATTATGATTCTAGTTTTAAATTCCCTTATCGGACTGAAACCAGTGACGCAAGTCAATGAAAGACCGTATTGAACCAGGAAGAAGCACGGCCTAAGCCGATGGTCTATGCACTTATGACGTCATTCCATAAAGCTATTTGTGTTCTTTTTTGGTGGGTCGTCGTGACCTTCCGCAAATTGCGGAAGACCACAGATGACAACGATTGTATTGGTATCGTGATTTGCTGATTATTTTTGCGGAAATCAAACAAATCCTGTTTGATTGGGCTACATGCGAACGTCGTTTACAGTGTCAACGCTCAGTCTGCCTCCTCATAGACCCATTGTCCCTACCAGCTGGCTTTGGTATGTGGGAATCTGAGCTCAAACAAGATCTGAGTGAATCGCCTGCAAATGGTGTCCTCGGGACTGTTCTCTGTCAAATATTCTCAAATTCGAGTGTCTTACCCTTTTTGTTATGCGGAAGACTGCATTGGTGGAAACAATGGGCCTCCAGCGTCTAGGATTAGTTTGGTGTAGGATTAGTTTCTCTTCCTCACATTGTATATATTTATTTAACGTCTTATCATATGTTGCAGCTATTCAAAAAGCGATATAGTCGTTGCTAGGGTGTCTGGCAGAACTGGAAGTGGAAATAGCCGGTGTTGCCCGTAATTTATGCACTGTCGGCATTTGTGTAATTAAAGCTGGCGAGCCGATTCAGCTGGCTGATTCTGACGCCCCCAAATTGGTGCCTAGGAACAATGTGGTCGGTGCCACTTTCGTCGGCTAGTGATCTATTTTAGATATTTGAACGCCTTTAAATATGATCTTCCTTTTTGGGAAACATGGAATAAGGTCTTGGTCTCTTGATAACTAGGCGGGTGAAAGCCACAATTATGTTGCATGCCGCCATCGTTCATTGTCCTGTCGGATCCCTTAGAATAATAGATGATCTTCAATAATGGTTGGAGCGTGACGCCTTTTCCGACCAAGCTGCGTCTGATTCACTGTCACCTGTTGATCAAAGCAGGTGCTGGAGAGCTGTCGCTTTTCAAATCTGCGGGCTGAGTCTGGCCACGCCACTCGTCAGTGTTGCGAACGGTGATGTTCGAAGAAATGTTTGTGTTCTGTTGTTCGGTGTCACCGCCCCCCCCCCCCCCCTGGTGAAATGCGTAGCTGTTTCGCAAATTTGTGAATTTGTGTATACGCAGAGTATACTTATGCTTATTTTTCACTCAACGGTCACTCAATGAAAATGCTATTCTTATTAGTTTTCCGTGTTCAATAACAATGAAGAAATTACATATTGTTTAGATATAACGGCGACGGTATATCTGGGTTATGTAGGCATAGCTGTCGCGAGTTACCGGGAGGTGCAGAGACGCTCAACTATTCCTGAGGTCCAGTTTTGTCGGGACGTCCTTGCCACTTGGGTTACATCAGTGCTGCTACGGAAAAGAACAGTTTCAGTGGATTTCGGGAGATAATATTTGCTTGTCAGGTTTCTTTATCGCATATCGCATTCTGATGTATGCATTATGTAAGGCGTGATCTATACGCATCGTCGTTTTCTGCACGGAAAACGACGATGCGTCTTTATGCGTATTACATGTTAAAATATGCTGACTATGCTGCATCTATAGGTCTTTCTCATCATTCCACGAAGCTTTAGTCGTACTGGTGGAACTTTATTTATATGAGGAACTTTTAATGCATTGTCAGTGCTGCTGGCTCTGAGTTGCTGCACTAGCCATTGTGATCAGTTTCGACTTTGCCGCGATGTATTTTGAAGAATATAAAATGCCTATACTCAGCTCGCTAAGTTTCGTTGTGGTGCAAAAAGTTGACAGTGGTAACGATGGTTTATTGGAGCTCAATAGATTGGTGATAACTTTGACTCGCCCCATGATATGATGGTACTTGACGGTAGTGCTACCGGTTGGTTTGAAGGGTCTTTCTAACGTGTTTGCTCTCAATAGGTCCTCAACAGTCAACACTCTAACCTATGTACTTGTCAGGATGGGGAGATAGTACTGTACTCAATATCAGTACCTACTTCACCAGTGTGTGAAATGTGACCACTGACCATCCTCGCCTAGTTGAGCATGTGGAAATAGCCACCAGTTATTGACTTTCTCTGCCATGATTGATGTCGTCCCTCGGCTTGATCCTCGGTAATGTGGAATTATTTGCCGAAAAGGATGACTATCCCATTACAAATAGCTTTAGCTTTGGATCTATAGGCTAAGTAACCGATCATTGTAGTCAACGTGCTCGTAAAGCTAATGAAATCATTTAATCAACCGCTAGGTAGGAGTGCTGGAAGCTTAAATAAAACGCCCATCGTCCAAGGTGGACACTAGACCAACACACCTCCGCGTCTAGCATACCAGTAATTCCCCTCTTGACTCCCCACGGGGCCCATAACCACCCATTCGATTCATCAGCCACCGATTGTCCAGTTTTGTGGCGCAGTGTGCGGTTTCGGTCGCAGCAACCCCCGTCCGCTCAGTCGTCCAATAACGGTCGATCGCATCCAACACCCACAGCCCTGCTCGGAACTCGCCCGTCCCCTGGGGGCGCCGAATCGCCCGACCAATAGCGGGCAGGCTGATTGGACTGAATTGGACTACGCAGTTCACGCAATGGGCTACGGTGGGGCTATCTGGAAAATTGACAGTGGGAGGTGAACGGCGCGCCTGCTCATTTGTGAAGCTTTGTGTTGACTGACACGAAATACAGCTCGTTTAGCGCCTGTGTTTGCTACACTGTACTGGTGCGTAGGCGTGTAGAATTCGTTTGTTCATTCTGATGGCCTCGAGGATTTGGTAAATGGTTTTGATCAGTGCTGGGAATTACAATTTACAAAAGAAATAGATTTATGCTGAGTGATTGATGAGAACTCATGAAATATTTATGAACGAATGTTTAATGATCTGTATTCGAAGGGCAGTACCCCTGCAATGTGGGCAGACACAAGCTTGGTACTGAATACCGACTAGTAAAACCTGCCAGCACCGTTTGTTTTTAAAAATTATGTTGCATTACAGCCACTTAAATCCAACGTATATATTTGCAATCTATGCAGCTGCATGCTGTATAAGTCAGGTCTGCCTGCAGCCATCACGAATTTTTTAGCTTCGATATTTTTTTTTGTCAATTACTCTGATCTACAACTTACCAGCTTGCTGCTTATCAGCAATTTGGTGGCCTGAAAACAGCCTGTCATCAACCATGCCTTGGTATAAGATATTGTCCATAAACGATTGATTCTCATACTATCCCTCACAGACCTTCCTTCCCGATCGTCCTGTCCCCGGGGTCCCCAGTTCGACCTCCCGCACCTCCCATGGCTCCTCCTGATCCCCTCTCCCGTCCCCGTCACTCTCGCTCCGCCGCTGTCGACGACGCGTCCCGAATCGATAGCCCGTCTGGAAGTGTGAGCGACCGCGTCAGGGCGGCACGGGCGACGGGACATTGTGCGTCGACGGGGCGTTTTGCCGCCCAGTGGCAGCCGTCACTGCCAGCCGGCTACTCGAGTGGACGTGACGACAGACGTGAGCCGCCTGACGCAGAGGCGGATCCAGGGACGTGGGGGGGGGGGATATGGACGTCGGGTTTCTGTATATCGGGGGTTATGGTTGTGTAATAAAATGGATGCTGCTGCGTTGTGGTAGATATTTTTAGCAGTTATGTATGTTCTGTTGTAACTATAAGGCGATTATGGTTTGCATTACATATCTTTGGCTTTCTATTCGTGTCCATTCCTAATATATTTTTGTTTCCGTTAAGCCTATCGTCCATCATACTGACATGTCGAGACATTTATTAACGGTAATCTGACGCATGCTTTCTTTCCACAGATAAAAAAGTTTGAAAAATTAGACAAAGTGGACGACCGGAGGAAAAACGCCCGCGACATCTACGACAACTTCATCATGAAGGAGCTGCTCTCACACACGCACGTGAGTCACATCCTGACACTCTGCTCTTGTCACATGGAGTGCGCTGACCCCGCTGACCCTGCTGGCCCCGCTGACCGACCTCGTGACCTCGGTGACCTTATGATATCCGACGTTCAATTTCAGTGACCTGGTGACCTTTGACTTGTCATCCTGGTGACCCGATGGCCTCAAGTTTGTGACCTCTGTGACCTGGCATTTGGCTTCGTGGCCTGGGATTTGACTTTGGTGACCTCGGTAACCTCAGCGGTCTCTGACCGGGCAGCGGTCATTCATATGTGTCGAGGTTATACCGAAGGAGTAGCTCACTCCCTGAATCGCCCTGGAACAGTCGTTAGTAGTACCGCGATCACTCGTCGTTAGTAGTATCGCGATCACATCCATCGATCACCGACCAGCCTGATATATGAAATCCCCTCGAGAACGTTAATGACGGTCCGGTGGAATCCTGATATATCTGGATTATCCATTATCCCGCCGCGCGATGGAACTCACCGTTCGCAGATGCTCCGTTTGAGGAGTCTTGAGGGCAGGTTAAATAGACTTTAGTTTGATATAGTACCTAATTGGTAGCTGTATTTGTTTTTCGTTGAGCAGGGTTTCGTAAATGATTAATGGTCTTTTTGGATTGAACTCCTTGGATAATAAATTATGAGCTGAAGTATGTAAGTATGTAAGTATGAAGTAATTGCACTCTATTAGCATCTTAAAGATGCTAATAGAAGTTATGTTATCACTTCAATCGTGGCATACTTGGCTAGATAGTGACCAATGTGAGGGCAAATATCGGTTCTATGCTCAACTAGCGCCCAGCACTCATATTGCCTTTTTCTGGGGGATTATTATCGACCAATTTGTGTCTCATATCTCAAAGAGCATGATGCCGGTATCCAGGTGGCAACACACAAAACCAAGACAGACACACAATTTACCGACAGTCTGTGAACACCAAAACTTTAACAGAACTTGGCGCCGTGATATATACGACTCATCTTTGGTGATCTAGCCGGTGATTTGTTCACATTCTCAGGTTTCATTAGTCGGCTCGAATTCGGCTGGTAAATGATGACGCGCTTAGCTCAATCTTGCAGCGTTCAGGTGATACATGTGCTTCAATAACGCGACGGGCGCCGTCGTCACAGCGCGGCGGTCTGGTTGGGAAACGGGGGGGGGGTGACCTCAGGGGTGGCGCTACGACCTGTAGGCAGGGGCTCGGGCAGCTTGCAGTATAGAGGTGGGGACTGCTCGAAAGATGGGAGTGGGTACCTAATATCGTACAATTACCTATACTATATGTCTGTAGAGAATGGTTCCTAGGCTAATTAAGGGGGAGAAGTTCACGTTAGTGGACCTGGCTTTGGTGCCGTTTGATTTGTGATCGTTTGATCTTTCTTTGTTTTGCATCGGAAGAAAGGATATAGATAAGTCGCAGCAAAGGAATCGATGGATGTGACGCTGCTCGGATATTGGTCCGTTATTATAGGGTCTGCCAACCTCTTTGCGATTGATATACCTACAAGCACTCGGGGATTCTCAAAGTAGGTGCGAGTGAAAGGGTTGTGCGCTGACTGTCCTGTTTTCGCCGCTGGACCGTCTGGCTGGCTAAATATCTGCCATTGACGGAGAGTTACACAATACACATATAGGTATAACGGAAGTCCCTTATATATTGCTGCTTGTCAGGGTTCCCGGATGTATCTGCTGGAGTTCTGACTTTTATTGGACACGAGTATAAATGCGGTTGTTTTCGTTTCTTTTGTGACTACAAGCAAATGCGTACTCTGCCTGCATAAAATCACATTCTATTTCGCTTGATAAGTGTTATTTATAATATCGTCATATTTTCTGCTTTCAGTTTTATGTGCGAATTTTCCTACTCCCTCTTAAAATCTACAAAATTCGAAGCATCAGCTTGCACTCAAGCATGAATGACATCGGTGACCTCAACCAAAGCCGAGGTTTGTCTTCCATGAGATTCATCCAAGAACAATCTTTCATTGTGATAGTATTTGTTTTTTATTACGAATGAAATACATTACTTATATGTGTAAAGGATTGTTTTCCTAGATGAATGTCAACTTAATTAATTACTGCCAGTTTGTTGCATTATATATTTTTAATATTTTAGAAATAATTTTACGGTACCCAATTTCATAACTCATAAAGTCTATTGGAGGGAGCACTTAGCACCCGTCGCTATGATGGATGCTCTCATATATCTTGTCTTTTGGATTCGACTTGTTACTGCGAAGTTGTGAGGTGATGAACCATGCCCCAGCGTGTGCTCTGAAATCCAATATCCGGTAATGACGCCCCCAAATTTGAGGCTCGCTGGCAGAAGTGCCAAACGTCTTGGTTGAAGCGATTTATCGTCGATCAGTTGTATCTGTCTAGATAGAAAATCTGATCACGCCCCAGCTCGCTATCATTTCGGTAATCTCATTCTCCGTCAATATCGCGAATTCTGATGGATTGAAATCTCCAATTAAAAATTTGTCTTGAAAGTGTTAGATTTTCACCAATGAAGGTCTTCCAATGGGCTGCACATTTGGTCGGGTTGTAAACGGAGCATGCTGGTAATTGCGATAATTTGGCTACAGCGGATAACTACCCTTTTCATATAACTACCCGGATTGGCTACCCTTTTCAAGCATGACGCTCAGTTGGCAGTTGGTGCTCCGCTTCTTGGAAACCTCTCAGGCTTCCCTGGGCGAAAATTCAGCTGATTTTTTTCCTTTTTAGTAAGACCATTCTTGTGTCCACCTGGGCACGTCATCGGTTGACGGATTATTCCGGTGTCCACAGTGTTTGTTTTGGAGAAGAAGAGACGAGCTATGGAATGTTTTTTTTTTTTTGCGAACAGCGTTTTATGGATACCACATATTTTATAGCTGTCGTTTCCCTTATGGCACTACGATGATTGGGGTATTATCCGTTTGTGAACAAAACATATATCTAATTGAAGACTGCTGTTATATGACTGCAGCTGGATGATTTGTATTGTTTACATTGGAAATTATAATTGCATTTGTTTGACATGAGTAGAGTCTCCCGGTGCTTAAATCTTCTATTGCTCGAATAACTTAAAACTTTTACAATTTCCGTCGAAGCATTTGATATTGTTGGATGTTTTCCCGTGGTATCGATCCATATGAAAATATATGTAATACATTTTAAACGTCACTGAGATACTTTGCAGCATTGCCTTAGCCGATAAAAAGACGAACCTGAGGGCTGCTAAGCTGTCTGCACGCCTTATCGCAATTCACCCCTGAGCCCATCCATCACCATGGTTACACATTGTGTGTAATTTTGTGTGAACTACTTTCTGCCCACACACTAGACCCAGAGGATGACGCGGCGCGGACCGGGTCTCTCCGTCATCAGCGTCGATTGCTTGGCGAGCCGTGGGCCATTGGACGCCGGACGGCGCTACTCTCTCGCCTCTTTCTCATCCTCCTTCCTCCTCTCGGGCGACTCCTCATGAGCGGCCCAGTATAAGATGGAAATGCTGTCTGTCTAATAACCGCTTAATTCATATCACTCCCCTGCTTTTTCTGGAATGAGCGATTCGATGATATTCCACCAGTCCTACGGTATCCGATCCCTGATAGAAGTCCGCTGCTGGCGCACTTATTGCGCGGACAGTCGCTATGAACGATGGTGTCGAGCGGACACGGTCGTGCCAGAGGTCACCCTCCCCTAGCCAACCCTCGGGAACGCTACTCAAACTCATCCTTACCCCAATATACCACAACAGCTCGGCGGCGCGCTGCCCATTTCGGCAACGGGAGCGCGTGGCTGGCACAGCGGCAATCGCGCCATACATCAAAGACGAATCGCATCCATCAGCCTATCTGTGGCATCTGGGAGCGAGGGCGGGATGGCGGCGCCGGCTGGGAGAGAGGGGGGAGGGAAAGAGAGAGAGAACTCGGGGAAGATGTAAAGAGGATGAGCCTAGAGGGGTAGAGGGTGAGATATGGGAGAGGCAAAGGACGCTGGGGAGTGAAGAGAGAGTGGAGAGAGAAGAAGCTCAAGAGAGGGTTGCAGTTCTGGACAAGGATGGGAGAATGCCTGGGGAAGATGAGAGGGGGAGGAATTCGTGGGGAGGGATAGGATTTGAACGGAGAGCACCATGTCGGGGGTAGAAAAAGGACGAGAGAGATTCAGGCAGGGGCAGAAAAGGCACAAAGACAGGCATTGCATTGATGAGGGATAAATTTCAAGGGTCTGACCAGGCGAGGGCGGCCGGAAATGTGAGGAGTGAGGGCCCTAGGCTCTGAAGACGAATAGTAGACGGGCCGGGAGACAGACAGAGGCCGGAAGAGGAGCCGCCTGCCCGCAGGGAGCCCGACGCAGACGCCGGCGCTTGGAGAAGTGTTTTCGCTGGCCGTCCCTGCGGCCGCCCACGGGCTGATATCGCGGATGGAAAAACAGCGCCGCCACGGTCGGCCGTTTGCTCACGATGCATGCCGCGAGGCGATGGATCGGGTGGGCGGCGGCTGACCCGCGCCGCTGTCGTTTCGTCATACGCTCTTTGAATGGCAGACCTCTGCCGGTTCCCGTGTGGGCAATGAAAGGTTGCCAGGCCTGGGGCTTTATAATGTCAGTTTCTGAGAGATTAATCTTGTGTGACTCCAAAATTGTGTGGTGGACTTGGCTGGTGTGGTCGTTTTTATGAAGTTGAATCAAAGTTGATGGGGCGGAAGCGGAAGTCTTTATGGTCATCCATTCTTGTGGTAATTTGCGAAATGGATGTAAAAGGGCAGTTGATTATGCTCGTTTATTGTCTGGAATAATGTGATGACTGATGGTCGTTTCCCTCGTGCTAAGTTTTATCAATCTTGATGATTGATCTACGTTTTATTTAATTGAAGAGTAGCGTTAAGTGTCGTTTCCACCAATTATTATCGAATGCAGCTGATATATGTAATGGGCTCGTAATTTAATAATGATTTATGGTATTGTCAATAGTTGTCATGTCCGTGTATGTTACACGCTGTCGATGGTATGTTGGTCCCAGCTGCTGACAGTTTGGTTACGCAGTCTCTGATCCTGCCACGGGCGTAGGAACGTCATGAAAAGTGGGTGGGCCACCCTGTCAAGGGGCCTCCTTTTCCAGGGGGCCTCCTATTTTCAGGGGCCTCCAACTTTTGTTCTCATCCTGCTGGCTGCTTTCAAGTATGACCTCCAAATCTAGCTTCTGAGATCGGGCAGATGTACCCAGGGGCGTAACCGCTAAAGCGAACAGTGCGGAAAGTCCGCACCATTTTTAAAACTTATTCCCCCTCCGATTTTTTTTAGAATCTATTTGCCGCAAACGGCGCATGACCCCTGAAAACCCTTACACAAATGTCTTCCTCGTTTCCCAGGTGCCCCCATTAGCTTCATAGGCGCCCTCTTTGGCATATAAGCGCCCTATGTATATTGTATAGTCATCAGAGACATCCCTATATGTCCCACAGTCGCCCCGTTGTCTCATACAATGTGCGCTTATCATAGGCGTCTCTCTTTTATGGACACTTGAAGGCGCATCTCTTTGCCATGCCGGCGCCCCTGTTTCTTATGAATGCACCCCCATGGCATTGATCAATTGCAATTTGCAGACCTCTATTGCATGTGGACGCCCATGTATGTAGGCCTCAGAGGCGCCCCTCTTTCGCATTGAGGCGCCCCTATGGGCTTCATAGGCGCCCTTCTATTGCACGTAGGTGCCCGACTGTCTCAGAACCGCTCCCCTTTGGCATGCAGACGCCTATCTTTCGTACGGAGGAGCCGCTGTGGTTCTTAGAGACGGCATTGTGCTCCCAGACGCAGATGGGGCTCTCGGAATCGACAGTGTGGGACCTTCAGTCGCTGATGGGTGCCCGCCAGATGTGGACCCTCGGAGACGCCGGTATGGGGCCCTCAGAGATGCCGGTATGTGGCCCTTAGAGACACCGGTGTGGAACCCTCAGATACTTCAGTGTGAAGCCCTTACAATTGCTGGTGTGAAGCTATGAATGCGCTGGCTTAAATCCCTCAGAGGCCGGTACATGGACATTAGAGCTCAGTGAGAGTTTGTGTGGTGCCTTCAGTGGCCTTGTGGAGCCGTTAGATTAGACATCAACATGGTGCTCTCAGGAGCCGGTGAGTCCTCAGAGTCACCGGTGTGGGGCCTTCAGAGCTCCGAGATACTGGTGTGGGGCCCTCAGAGGTGTCGGTGTGGGTCCTTCAGATGTACCTATAGAGCCTTGAGATGCACAGGTGTGGTGGCCCACAGAGGCGCCGGTGTGGGGCCCCCAGAGCCACCGATATAGGGCCCTAAGAGACACTAGTATGACCCTCAAAGGCGCCGCTGTGTGGCGCTCATAAACACTGGTGTGGAGCCATCACAGGCGGGTGGAGCCGTTAGAGGCCGGAAAGGGCCCTCAGATGTCTACAAGGAGCCTTCGGAAGCCGACGTGGCACCCTTATGGGGATAAGCGTGTCTACTTAGGAGCCCTTGAGGTGCTCTCATGAGCTCTGTGGGGCCCTACCGAGCCGAAATATGGCCACGGCCAGTTGCCGCCGCATGACTCTTCGGACTTTCATTCTCAGGGGCCTCATCTGCCTAGTTTGAATAGAAGGGCCTCTCAGACCATCAGTCTCATGGGCCTCCTCTGGCTAGTATAAATAGAAGGGCCTGTTAGACCATCAATCCTAGGGGCCTCCTCTGGTTAGTATACATAGAAGAGCCTCTCAGACCATTAATCTCAGGGGGCTCCTGTGGACAGTATAAATAAAAGGGCCTCTCAGACCATCAGTCCCGGGGGCCTCCCTAGAAAAGTGTAAATGTGGATAGAGGGCCCCCTCAGATTCATTACGAGTGGACCTCTCTGACTATCAGTCTCATGGGCCTCTTGTGGCCAGTATGCATAATGCATATAAGAGCCTCTCAGACCATCGGTCTCAGGGACTTCTTCTGACTAGTGTGGATAGAGGGCCCTCCCAGACCACCGGTTTCAGGGGCCTCCAGTGGCCAGTTATATGAACAGAAGGGCCTCACAGCCATCAGCCTCGGGGGCCTCTTCTGACTGGTGTGAATATGAGGGCCTCTCATACCATCAGTCTCAGGGGCCTCCTCTGCCTAGTGTGAATATAAGGGCTTCCCAGGCCATCAGTCTCAGGGGACTCCTCTGACTGGTGCCGGATTGAGGGACCTCCCAGACCGAAAGTTTTGGGGGTCTCCTGTGGCCAGTATGAATAGAAGGGCCTCTCAGTCCATCAGTATCATGGGCCTCTTCTGCCTGGTGTGATTATAAGGGCCTCTCAGGTCATCAGTCTCAGGGGCCTCCTCTGACTACAGTGTAGATGGATAGGCCTCCCAGACCATCAGTCTCAGGGGCCTCTTCTGACTATTGAGGATAGAGGGGCCTCCTCTGACTAGTGAGGGTAGGGGGCCTCGGCTAGACCGCCAGTGTCAGGGGCCTATTCTGACTAGTGTGGATGGAGGGGCCTCCCAGACCACCAGTCTCAAACCTCTGACTAGTGTAGATAGAGGGGCCTCCCAGACCGCCAGTGTCAGGGGCCTCCCCAGACCAGTGTGGATATTGGGGCCTCCTCAGATCCACTAGGGCCTCTCAGGCCATCAGTCTCAGGGGCTTCGACTGATAAGTATGAACAGAGGGCCTCCTTGGATCCATCACGGCCCCTTGGAGTCCGTGCGTGGGGATTCGTGTAACTTATTTTTACCGAGTTTGTTTATTCTGGAAGGTGACGACGTCCTCTCAAATCGAGACGAGGGGCCTCGAGTAAAAAGTGGGTGGGCCAAAACACATGGTTGGCCCCCCCCCCCCCACCTCGAAAAGTGGGTGGGCACTTGCCCACCTGGCCCCCCCTGTTCCTACGCCTATGGATCCTGCCGTCTGAAACCCGTCCGATGTGAGCTGCGGCTGGCCTGTCCTAATTCCATGGGTTTGTTCCAGTCGCACTTCCTAACGCCTCTAAACTCCTCCAGGAGCAAGAAAGAGGAGGTTGGAGCAGGGCCCTCCTTCGCTTTGTAGGGGCTAGAGCTGCCACTGGAACAGGGAAGCAATCTTGGAGGAGTTTAGAGGTGTTAGGAAGTGCGACTGGAACAGACCCCATGACACCTGCCGCTGCCGCCCGGTCCGTCCGGTAGGTAGACTGTGCCGCACTACACGCGCGCCTTGCGGCACAGCCGACCATCCAGTCGGCTCCGGCGCCGGCACGCTACGTGGCGCTGAGGGTAGTGAGGGCCCGAGCCCCGAGGGATACTGACTGAATTTTGACTGGAATGTTTTTGTCGGCAGAATTACTCGAAACAGTCGGTGAGCCACGTTCAGAAGTACTTAACGAAGAATGAAGTGCCCGCCAATCTCTTTGAGGTGAGAAAGTGTTTGCCAGCTTTTTGCTCATGGTTTGCTCATGACTTGCGCTAACGTGTGCTTTTGATCATCCTCATTCCCTCACTTTTGACATTTCGTTAAAGCTTATTTATGAATGGACAAATCATCTTTGATGAAGCCGTAGTGTCTGTTTTTAAAATAGTGCGGTCATGCTTCCTGGAATATCTGCCAAACCCAAACCCCGGTCCAACTACCGGCATGCCGCCCGTGTTTTGTAACAGTTTATTTATAAAGTCATTTTACGTCACCGGGGAGGGATCTCCGCCACGGAAATTGAACAACCTTGGCCGACCTTGCCACGTCTGAGCGTCCTCGCTACCTCACCGCCCTGCTTTGAGGGGTAGTTTGTATTTCCTTCACCAGACTAGGGATCATGTTGACCTGAAGCCGGCACCACCAGCGCTGTCGGCCGCGCCCATGTCTCGGGGCTTGGAGACGGGCCGGTTTCCAGTTTGTTTTAGATAGCAGCATGACATGTTTATGTTAGTTTTTGCCTCTTCAACCGTCGGGACTACTTGCCGCGCATGTTGTTTATGGCTAAGCTTTAGTGCAGTCTACAGCGGCGGCTCCGCATTCTGTCATGTGAATGGCAGATTTTGTCTTAAATTCGGCTTATTAACCCTCGCCCGTAAACGGCGATCTGCCACCTTCGCCCATGCAGGGGGGGGGGGGTTGGTGCGACCCCCCCCTTGGCGTTTGAAAACGGAGCGTCGTAGAGCTTAGCGGAAAAGACCAACGGATTGCTCTCGCCGAGATCTCGCGATTGGTGGTATATTTTTTGGTCCTAGGTCAACATTTGACCTACTTTTGACCGGTCAAAGGTCAAATTTTTGGAAAAATAGACTTTTTTCAACTTTCCGCGGCGATTGCGGCAAAACGGTGGGAGATATCGACTTGAAACCTTCACTATCGTGTTCCTTGATCAATTCTCTATCGTTTGGTATGTATTTCGTTTCCCTAGCTCTAAAAATGGCGCGTTGGGAGCGCCGGAAGTCGGCAAGGTCACAGTCGGCGGCAGAAATTCGAAAAATCAAAATTTAAATTTTTGAAATCTGATTGTATTTTTGGATTTGGAAGGTCCATTTGCTCCCTATAGAAGCTAATATTGCTGCATATTCCCATTGAGGTGACAAGAATTAGCAAAAAAGTGGTTCGGGCGCTTTTCAAAAATAGTACCGGACGCTGTTCCTCTTGTGACGTCATAGCTCCGTGACCTGACCTGACCCGGTCAAGTTTCTTATACCATATGATAGCCAATACTTGCCCCAACATGCATGGGAAGTTTCATCAGGATCCATCAACCGATGTCCGTACCACCGGCAGGAAACCTCGGGCGTTGGCACTCAGTTTGTGAAAATCCGGCCGGAGGATGTTCCCTTTGTGACGTCATAACTCCGTGACCTGACATGACCCGGTCAAATTTTTTTTATCAAAAGATGCGCAAGGTTTGCCCCATAAGGTACCCAAAATTTGGCGGCGCTGCGCGCCGCCGTTTTTGCACTATCTCCGAAAAACCTCAGGGGGGGGGGTTGCACCAACCCCCCCCCCCCTACATGGGCGAGGGTTAAAGTCAGGAGCTCGTATTGTTGGTTGGTGCCCTCTGCGTTTATAAAGCAGGTGGATAATATGCCCGGTGTTGTGATACATGAATTGTACTTGCTGCCATTCATATCAAATGTTTCAGCAGTCAGCTGTTTGGGATTCTCGTCGCCTTTTTGTCATGACATCGCAAAGTCACAGGTGTATCTTTTGTAAAGGTCCTGTTTCTGAATCCAAAAAGCAAGCTTTTTGCATATGGTTACGTAATTGCTGGTAGGTGTGTCTTACTGCCACACCTGTTTTTTTTCAGCCATACATTGAGGAGATTTTCAACCACTTGCGAGGCGAGCTCTTCATGGGATTCATCGAAAGGTATTTTTCGTGGAGAGCTTATCGTGTTACCGTAAGCTGTGTTATGCTGGAAGGCTATCTCCGTTCGGTGTTGATTATTCAATAAGTGCACTTTTTCAATTATCTTAAGCAGTTGAAAAGGAAGGCCATGCGTCGAATTCCTGTCAGGAAGTTGCATCGCTGATTCTAATCTCGCTAGTATTGCAGTCATGAATGAATGATCGGTTTCAATGTCGCGATATTTTATGCTCGCTTGTCGCTTAGCTTTTTTTAAAGAACATCCTTTCATGAACCTGACCACGCCTGAACTTTATTTGAGGCTTGGACTTTCCTCATTTTGTTATTGCTCCTAGCCAAAGTGTTTATCTTAAACGTTTATCACTAATTGAACGGATTGTTTTTTTCTCGCTCACAGTGAGAAGTACACCAGGTTTACCCAGTGGAAAAACTTGGAGCTCAACATTCAGGTAAGATCTCAACGAATGTGACACCCTACGAATTTCATTCATGCTATTAGTTTGGCCATGTCATGACCCGCTAAAGGCAAGCGACCGACGACTGTCCAACGAGCTGACAAAACGACGTGACTGTGACGTGATTTGATCATCGAATCACACCCTGTGATAAACAATGACGCCTTGCGTTGAATGGTGACCCACTAGACCCAGTGTTTTAGACCTTTGTACTACAGTTTCGAGCTTCTGCTCCTATTTGTTGTTTACACCCACCCTTCCCCCATCGAGCCCCACAAGGGGCGTATTGCCTCAGCTGTATTAGGCCGGATGCACGGCTGATTTTTCATCGTATCTGCAGCCACGATCGCTCGTTTATTAACAGTGGGCGGCTGTGGAGAGCGGTGGGCTACCGATGTCGTCCGATTAGCGACCGCCTCGTGTGCCCGCTGTATATACAGGACAACGGTTGACGGGAAGACCTGTCTGGTGGACGGCTGCTGCTCGGACCAGCTGACCGATAGGGGGAGCCAGCTGGTGCAGCCCCCCCCCCCCCCATCCGGCTGGGAGTGGGCTGGGGTCTGCCTGTCGCGTCATTGATGACCGAACGTCTGGATAGAAGGAGAGACGGGTGGTTTTGATGGTCACTGTGGAAAAGCATTGACACCTGACAGGAAAGAAAATGATGACTCCTGACTGATATTGATGGTTCGTATTACTGAAACAAATCGCAGTCAACTGTGCTTTTAAATTTGGATGCTTTCTACCTCAAGTCGTGCTCGTCAGCATGTTCAAACACTGGTGCCTCGCTCCGCCCCATTCTCTGGCGTGCACGCTACTTTTGGGCACCCCGCCGACCCTATGTGCCATCACCGCACAGTTTTACACACTCGCCGACCGCCCTGGAGCCTCCGTTTGTGCTCGGGCGCCGGTGTCTGTCCGTGTCGCGCCGGTGTGGTGGCCGGCTGGTTGATAACAGCACCCGCCCGGGTGTTGGGTTTCGGCGGCGCGGCGCCCGTTGTCGCCTGGTGACCCGGACACGGGACCGGCCGCCGTGAGAGCGCCGCGCTGATGTCACGGAGAACACGAGTGGCTAAATAAACACAAACGACGCCGCCGCTGCCGCCAGCGTGGACATGATGGACACTGGGAATAGTGGACCTGACTTGGCCATGGACGCTAGAGTGGAAATATAGTGGACCTGGCCGTGGATGGTCGTGAACTGTAGTGGAAGCTATGGACTCTTAGAGTGGACATATAGCGGACCTGGCCGTGGACACTCGTGAAAGCGGTGGACATTGGAGTGGAAATAAGGTGGTTATAGCAATGGACGTGATGGACGATAGTAGCTGGTCGTGGAAGTGGAAGCAGTGGAAGCGGTGGACGCCACTTTAGAAATGTAGTAGTCAGTAGTACCCTGGCTATGAACACGGTGGACATTGCTGGAGATGTGGACGTTTGGTGGTCATCTTAGTGGCCACACAAGCTAAGGCACGCCATGGGCAGGCGGCCAACACGACACGCATCGATAGGATTATCTAGAAGGTTTGTGTGGATTCGTGACGGTTGCTCGTTTGCAGCTGTGGAATGCAGAAGCCGAGTTGGTGTGGTGCATCTGCGAAGAATTTTCGGCTGTTGTCTAGCTCCAGCTGACTCAGTTGCTATGGCCTTTCTGTTGGGTGTGCCGTGTGCAGAATAACGCTCTTGGGAGCTAATCGGACTGTCAGCGAAGTCGGTTTCCAGGCGCGAGTTAAATGGATGTGGACGGACCCTGGGCTGAGAGTTCCCAGGAGCTACCAAGAAGTTGGTCACAGAGTGAGCTCTCGTTGAATTGGGGCGGTAGCTGCACGGGATGTGATTGATATGGAGGCCGGGGCGTGCCGTAGCTGCGGGAATTAATTTTCAGATGGGCGACGGCCTGGTTGCCATGCGGGGTACCAAAAGAATGTCTGAAAGGCGCGAAAGTGGATTGGTGGCAGACGGTTCGTCAGCGGATATCTAGCACGAACCTACACCAAGACGATAACTTGACATTAAAGTTTTAGAACACACTTACATCGCTTCAATATCACTCGGCGCATTGACAGACATTCTGATGGACTCTTCCATAGTGATTCTGATCAGTCTGACATTTTTATCTGGCCGACTTGTTGCTGTAAGTTTATTGCTCGTGCGGGATCTTGCATCAGCTCCTGTGAGCGGTTGCTCTCCCCTCACTTTAGTTCCGACTCTGAGTGTGCAACGCAGAACGGCTACTGCGTATCTGAACTTCTGCCCCGACATCCGGGTTCGTGGCTAGAGGCCGTGACTTATTAGCAAATTTACATGGCTCTTCGCTTTTGTTTCCCCGATGTTCGAAGCTTCTTAACATGCATTTTTATGTTGTGCTTGTCTATTCAAATTGTAAGCTTCTGATGAAACTTGAAAAGTGTTTAACTTCATGTTTGTTTGCAGTCGTATCGCCCCGCTTTCCGCTGTCCGGCGGCTGACAGCCTTCCAAGAGAGTCGTCTTGATTGAAGCGCCTTGCTTGTATAGCCTGTTGCTGAGGGAGTTATCTATTTGCGACCATCGAATCCCCCGTTGTCCCCACGCTGTCGCGTCTCCGCTGTTGTGTTGATTGAAGTGCTTGCACGGGGGAGCTGCTACACAAAAACTGTCGCACACTGCCGCTCCGCCGGCGGGGCGGGGCGCCGATGAAATATGAGGGCTCTTGTGCCGCCAGACCGTATGGCCAGTCGACGTGAGCTGACTCGCCGGATTGATTTAGAATCCCTGCAGTCGATTGCGTGATCTATCGCTGTGTGTAAAGACCACTTACAGTTTGAATGAACTCAGCCCACAGACTTCAGAGCCGGTGGCCGCGTAGGTCGGGCGGTATCGATTTCAACTGTGCTAACCTGTCACGAAGCTCCTGGATATTGAAGAATTGTAGCATTCAGACATGAAATCACAACATCCGGTTTCCGCCAGTGCTTGCCAATAATTCATTCACGCATACTGAGCTCTGCCTCCCACACTCAGCCGTTGACGTGCGCCGCGCTTGCGACATTCTCTCACATTAATATTCGCCTTGTGTCACCGAGGCGTCGGTTAATGACTGAAACTTGGCGGCCGGCTCTGCATACAGGGAGGCTGCAGAGACCGGCGGCGTCCGCTCCGGCGGCTAACTAGGCGCCCCGTGAGCCGCCGCTGCAGGGATCGTTAGGCGGCCCGCGGCCGCGGCGGCCGCTCCAGCCGCCCTGTTGCTGGCCATCCTGGCTGTATAATAAGGTGTCGTCACCGGCTGCCGACCTCAGAAAACAACAGAGGTGACGCCTAGGGAGGGAGTTTTGGGGATTTGAACAGCGGTTTGTTGCAGTCTGAGACATCAGTTAAGTTTAATAAATTTCAGCTTGTCTTGCTGTGAGACAATGAATGCTGTTGACTAGCGGAATGGTATGATTTCCTTTGTTGTCTTTCGTGTCACGGCGAAATTATTAAATCCAACACATGCCTCTAAATTTAGTCGCAGTCGCCAATTCTATTTTATTTCGCATTTGATTTCGGAAAGCGAACGACCAATACGCTGCTCTGAACTAATGAGTACCACGGTGTGGCTAACAATCAGTTGGAACGCTCCCGAGTTTCAATTATAATTGAAAAATTATTAACAAAATTTTAATTGCTTTCATTGACGAGTAACTAATGCCAGCTAGGCGCCAATTACTCCCTTGGATTACATAAAATACCAAGTTGGTGCAACTCGGCATTGATTTCTCGTGCATTTGCTCAGCACCCAATACACATTGCAACCCTACGTGCTGACTGGTCTCCGTGACATATGAGACAGCCATCCGCTGATTCTGTCCTACCTGTCATCCCCGGCCCCAACAAGGCTGCTAAAATCTTGGTCGGACTCAGTGCTGGTCACATCTTGAAAATGCATCCCGACCAGCCTGCGCTGCTGGGTTTTTGCAGCAGCTCGGTGTCTATTTCATGTTAACCGATTCAGGGGCTTGGCTGGAGCGCTGTCAACATAATGCCGAGCTGTCCTGGATTTGACAGGGCCCACTTTTTGTCCGAACGTATCCGCGCCCGACGCGCCCCATTGCCGCGTTCGATGACGCGTAGAAAAGCGGCCGCAGTCTGAGTAGCGACGTCAGGAAGGCGGGTGGCAGGGCCTCGCTGATGGCGCAGCTGTTGCTTCCTGCGCGCTCTGTGGCGCGACGCGACACGCATCGTCCGGCGCGGCGCCGGCGGCCGGCCTCCATCGGGCGCTGATTAAGTTACGCTACAGAGCAGCGACGGCGAGCGATCAATACTGCGGGCGGCGGCCGGTCGGAGCCGCCGCCGCGCCGCCCCCGCCCCCGCCCCCGCCCCCGCCCCCGCCCCCGCCCCCGCCCCCGCCCCCGCTCGACGGGGGTCAGCTCCCCCGGGGAAGGGAAACCAAAGGGCGCCGTCTCGGAAATGATTTTTTGTATAGATTCGACGTATTCATGCCTCGTCTGGGCTCGCGACGAGCTACCGAGGGGGATGGGAAGCGGGCGTCACGTTTGCTTTTTCTTCTTGTGTGTCTTTTATGGTGTGTCCGTCCAGTTGTCGCGTCGTTGTGAACCTCTACCTGTGCTTCAAAATGTTTCAAAGTATAGTGTGCTTGGCCTCAATTGATCCCGGCAACATGCAATTACATTAATTATGCATGGTTTCCCATATATTACCTAAGTCGTTGCATATGGATGCATTTTACGGTCCACCGCCGCGACAGCCGGAATCTGTTTTCTTCGATGCATATAAGTTGTGTGCTTCTCTGAAATTACAATGAATATTAGCAGATACTATTCAACATATGCAATGCAAGCCACATGCATTAAAGAATGTAAGGAGTTCGAGTTGGATGATAATCGAGGCAAGTTTTGGGCGGCCAGCGTCTTCCTGGTGCCGGCTAGTGAACCTGTATCTGATTGAACTGAGGTCGGTCGACTATTGGGTCGGGCATGGTCAAAAGTCATACAGCATTCGAGAAGGAAGGAGGGAGGATTTCTGCTGACGTACCGACCTGATGACCTCATGGCATGTGCTGACCTTCGATGTGACATATTGCTCGCTTTCGCCTCGTTACAACATACGTGTATACTGAACATTCAAAGCCTGCTGCATTAATTTGATTCCTTGCGGCTACTGTTTGCATTTGCTGCTGACCTCAGGCGACTGTTTTTGTCCCCCTCCCCCCCCCCCCCAACGCTGTCTATGTCTGCGCTGGCCCTGTTCGCCCCCCCCCCCCCCCGCCCACCTCTGACCTCCGAGAACACACGCTGACCTTTGAAGACCCCGATTGACCTCTGTGACCCCGCTGTGCCCCCAGCTGACGATGAACGACTTCAGTGTGCACCGAATCATCGGAAGGGGAGGCTTCGGCGAAGTGTACGGTTGTCGCAAGGCCGACACGGGCAAAATGTACGCCATGAAGTGTCTGGACAAGAAGCGCATCAAGATGAAGCAGGGCGAGACGCTGGCGCTTAATGAGAGGATCATGCTCTCACTCGTCAGCACAGGGGTGAGTTTACCGGAGAGTGTGAGAAGTGGAGGAGTTGGGATGCGACAACGGGAGGCGTTATGTGGCTGGGTGGTATGCTCTGCACGGTGATTTGTGTAGTGGTGATTGTTTCATTGCTGTTTTGCTCTCGTGTTCTCGGAGGGAATGGTTACTTTGATACTGAACTGACTTGTTACATAATCACACTTGACAAGATAGCCTGTAAGTTTTGTAGTCGGAAGCTATTTCGTTCACCGCTGGACTTTTGACAGGTTTTAACAGTCCGGGGCCAGTGTTCCAGGATAAATCATTTGCTTGTTTGTAGGAGTACCCATGCGTGGGACTTTTGTACTGTCATCCACACTCCACAGCCCTCACCGATGGACTCAATGAACTCGACCGAAGACATTAACAACAGTCTTTGAACCTGCGCTAGAAGTTGATAGAACCTTTCAAATAATTTGATTTATTTTATATGAAACATATTAATAACTTTAAAAAAAAATGTATTTAAAATGTTATATCTGTTGAAGTAGAATATCGACCAGCTCCTAAACTGCAAACCCCCAAGGTCCAATCGCTTTCTTTTCAGGACAGCGCAATTAAGTGTTTGATGTTGTTCTTTTTCAGATCTGTCGAACGGTTCCAGCGAGGGTGTATTTTGCTTGATCCAGACCTGCTGGCAATCCTATTGGTGCTGCGCTAACCAGAAAGTCTCGGCATGACACGAAAAAAATAACAGAAACCAATCTCGTTCAGCTGAGCCAATAGTTTGTGCCCGCCCGACCGGAAGCCGATTTCGCCAGCCTCCTGGGTATTGACTCCGTGCGACCCCGACCGTCGGCTGGGCTGGCTGAATGGGACCAACCGGGTATCGCCTGGATCGAGGCAAGCCCGGCTGCTGCAGTGGCCCAGCCAGCTGTGTTGAGCTGCCTCTGTACCGTATAGGTGGAAACAGTGACTGCCGAGTCCGGCTGTATCGGGCCGCGCTCAAGGCCGCTGGTGACGTCACAGTTTGTTAGTAGGCCTATCGGCGGTGGGGATTTGACGGGACTAATCTGGCGGTCGGCGGAATCCATGATGAGCCGATGGCATTCAAGGTTGATTGCATGTGATCGATCCCCGCGTTCTATTGCGACGCGCTGGATGCTTTCGCAGCCTTACATGCCAGCCTTTCCTTTTCTGTCACGTGCGTCAAATATATCTTCCCTTTACCTGTCATCGACCGGCTCTTTTGAGCCGCCTCACTCATTGATAACCACGATCGCTGCGTGCTCCCCGCCTCCACGCTCTCATTTTAAAGCCGTTTTCGCTCCAGCACTACGCCTGTCCGCTCCCAATACTTCTCGAAGCGTTGGAATCTCCATAAGAAGCCGACGGACGCGGGTCAGCGGACGGCTCACTAGCTGACATTGCACTGCAGAAAGGATACAGCGGAGAGGAAGGACCGAGCTTAGCTGTCAGTGACTCGATGCTGGTGGTTAATGCTTCCGCGGCCTGCGGTGGACAACTCTCGACTTGGCCTTATACATCACGCTAGCTTGATAACTGTTCCCGAACCAGTGTTAGATTGCAATTGCCGGAATTGCGCTACCTAACGCTGATTGGTTAACGCTAGGTGGCTCGAGCGCCACCGTGACCCCACGAGTCGGCACTCGTTTTCGGAAAAGATTGTCTGCTCTATATGCACGCGCGGCCGGCGCGTTCCGCTGAAATCAAATCTCCTCAAATGCATGCAGCTGCCGCGCTGGCGGAAGTACGGCTGGAACGAAATGCATTTCAACGAGGTGCTCCAAGGTGGTCGGGTGTCTGTGGAGCGCGGTGCTGGGTCGGCGCGGCCGCCGGCGGGCGGGCCGGGCGGTGGCCCGCTCATCCGTCGGGCCCGGATCTAAGTGACATGTCTGGGAGCTGATTCGTCGTAGCGGTACCTCTGTGCCATCCATCCCGGTTGCGCCGTCCTACCGTTGGACGCGGTGGAATTACGCTGTCGATGTGCCCTGTGTTCCTGCCGCGCCATCCATCTTGCTCCCTCTTCTGATCGGGCGGTTCCGGTCCGTCCCCCTCCCGATAGACAGAGCTTCCTCTTCCCTCTGTCTGACGTCTCTTCCCTCCTTCTCTGCCCCTCTGTCGGTGTTTCCTCTCGCTCTGAGCACCGTTCATTCGCTCTGCCGCTTTTCTGTTCTGCCTCTCTGGTCTTCCGTTGCTCTTCTTTCGCTCCGGTGCCCTTCCTTTTCTCTTCAGTCCTGATTTCTGTTCTCTGGCTCTTCCTTCCGGGTCTTCCGGTCGCCTATGTTTCCCGGTCTGGCATGTGAATCACGGGCAGTATGTGCCCTATTTTTATCTACCATGTTGTATTATTAGTGGCTGTTATTTTTGCCTTATTCCATCCCTCTTACTCTCCCATTTTTGCCTCTTTTTCGCTCTCTTTCCCTCTCTTTCTCTCTCTTTCTCTCTATCTCTTTTTTCTTTCCTGCTCTATCTCTCTCCTCTCTCCCTCTCTCTCTCTCTCTCTCTCTCTCTCTCTCTCTCTCTCTCTCTCTCTCTCTCTCTCTCTCTCTCTCTCTCTCTCTCTCTCTCTCTCTCTCTCTCTCTCTCTCTCTCTCTCTCTCTCTCTCTCTCTCTCTCTCTCTCTCTCTCTCTCTCTCCTTTCTCTCCCACTGTCTTTCCTTCAAACAATCTCCTCCCACGCTCTTCTTCATCTCCTACTCTGTCTATTTTCCACGGGCGTTTTCTCCATATCGGGAGCTGTCGGCGGACCATCGCAGATAACGTGTTGGCCAGAATGAGTGCCGTCCCCAGGGCGTGCTCGAGATGGAAGGACCATGCCGAGCCGCCTCTGGAGAACAGAGGAACGCTCCGATATCGTCAGGAGACTGAGGATGATGCCACAGCCTCCGACGGACAAAAAGTCGGCTAGAGGATAGTGTTTTTGGCTGTTAGAACGGCTGAGAACAGCTGCAATACTGCTACCAATTGGCGTCTGAGTTACTAGCTGATCGGGCAGAGACGGGTTTTGCAGAATTTTGTTGATGGTTATGTCTGGTTGAAAACATGTCCGGGAAGGCGGACGGGTGAAATTGATGGTGCAGTCTGTTTGAATCGGCCTGGAGCCATAATATCTGGGATTGGATGTGAATTCGGAGCCATGCTGGATATTTGTTTTTTTGTGGAAGCGATCATCACTATGGTCAGTGGGCCAGAACACATGTCTCCGGGAACTGAATGACCGTTGTGTAGTCGCGGCAGTCTGCCTGTTCGTTTGTCGGGGTATCTGGCTGCTTTTTGACTGACTGGTAGCCTGGCTGGGTGGCGGGTTCACAGGGGCGGATCCAGGAAAACTCCAAGGGGAGGGTCATGAATCGAAGTGGTGCCCCTACCTATACCCAAAATTAAAAACTCAACGGATTTCGTCCACTTCATTTTGGTGGTGCCCCCATTTTCAGTTTTTTTTTTCTTTTTATTTTTTATTTTTAGTCAGTATCTTAACTCTTAGCCACAACCACATTTACCAATTGTAAGCAAGTATATATGAATGTGCTATGTGTATATATGTTGTGGACGCTGAGTAGTGAGTACTTACCAGGAACGTTATCAGGTAAGCAAATCGTTGTCAGTCCGACAAACTTGACCCTGGCGTCTAAAGGGTCTGTCCTTGACACTTCAGGCTTGTCAGGGGCACCAAAGTCCTTCCAGGGACACCACAAACCTGTCAGGGGCACCTACGGCCTTGTAGGGGCGCCACAGGCCCGCCAGGGGCACCACAGGCCTGCCAGGAAGCAGGGGCACCACAGGTCTAGCAAGTATACACGACAGGCCTGTCAGGGGCACAACGGGCCTGTTGGGCCCATGAGCACCCCTAGGGGCAGGGGCACCACAGTCCTTCCAGGGGCACCGCAGGCCTGTGAGGGGCACCAGCGGCCTAGCAGGGGCACCAGTCAACACAGGCCTGCCAGGGGCACCACAGACCTGCCAGGGGCACCAGAGGCCTGCCAGGAGCACCACCGACCTCGCAGGGGTAACTTGGGCCTGTCAGGGCCCAGGGGCACCACGGGCCTGTCGAGAGGCGCTTCAGGCTTTTCAGGGGCACCATAGTCCTCTCCGGGCGCAGGGGTAGCAGGGGCACCAGAGGCCCGCCAGGGGCACTATAGGCCTAGCAAGGGCACCACTGGTCTATCAGGGGCACCACGAGCCTGTCATAGCCAGGCATCTCAGGCTTGTCAAGGCCCAGGGGCACCACAGGTCTGTGAGGGGCACCAGCGACCTAGCAGGGGCACCAGTCAACACAGGTCTGCCAGGGGCGCCACAGACCTGCCAGGGGCACCACAGACCTGCCAGAGGCACCAGAGGTCTGCCAGGGGCACCACCGGCCTCGCAGGGGCACCTTGGGTCTGTCAGGGGCACCACGGGCCTGCCGAGGGGCACTTCAGACTTTTCAGGGGCACCAGTCCTCTCCGGGCGCAGGGGTACCAGCGGCCTAGCAAGGGCACCAGAGGCCTGCCAGGGGCACCACAGGCCTAACAAGGGCACCACGGGCCTGTCAGGGGCACCTCAGGCTTGTCAGGGCCCAGGGACACCACAGTCCTTCCAAGGGCACCGCAAGCCTGTCAGGGGCACCAGAGGCCTGCCAGGGGCACCACAGGCCTATCAAGGGCACCACTGGCCTGTCAGGGGCACCTCAGGCTTGTCAGGGCCCAGGGGCACCACAGTCCTTCCAGGGGCATTACAAGCCAGTCAGGAGCACCAGAGGCCTAGCAATGGCACCACAGGCCTGCCATGGACACCACAGGCCTGCCAGGGGCACCACCGGCCTTGCAGGGGCGCCTCAGGCCTGTCAGGGGCACCACGTGCCTGCCGGGGACACTTCAGGCTTGTCAGGGGCGTTACAGTCCTGTCAGGGCCCAGGGGCACCAGGCCCGTGGTGTCCCTGCTAGGCCTGTGGTGCCCCTGGCGGTCCTGTGGTGCCCCTGTCAGGACTGTGATTCCCCTGATAGGCCGGTGGTGCCCCTGGCAGGTCTTTGGGCCCCCGGGCCTCAAGGGGGGGGGGGGGGGCCATGACCCATGTGACCCCCCCCCCCTTGGATCCGCCCCTGCGGGTTCATCTTGTCAAGATAATTTGAACCTGTTCCTCGCATGGTCCAAAGGTGCAAAAGTGGTAAAGATGGCCTCTGAAATGCAGATTACTCTAGTACCGAACGATGTGGTGTTATGTAATGCTTTTTGCTCCTTCCACGACAAGTTCAAAGCAAAAGTTAACGACAACAGAATTCCGACAGGCTGAATTGCTCAGTTGTGAATCCATCTACTAGCTGCCGTGCGCCCATCGCGCCCATCCAGCGAAATAAAACCTGTTGGATGCGCGCTCGGCAACGGCTCCCCTCCATAGATAAATTCCGGCAGTGGCCATTGGACGGAGTGGAGGGACGTCGACGCACACCCGGGGGGAGCGGCGGGAGCGGGCAGCTGAAAATCCGACAGATTACGTCCAGTCCGCAGCCCCCAGACTGCTGACGTGTGAGCCCGCTGTATAGCCTCCGCCCTCCGTGAGCCGGCCGCAGCCGACCCCCGGCCGCCGCCGCCGCTGCTGCCGGGAGAGCAGAGAGCGTCGCAGGGCCGCCGGCGCTGGTCGATCATGGCGCCGGCCTCTCCCGCGCTCTGTCCGCACTGCTCTCCGCTCTCTCTCCCCGGCCGCCGACCGACCACCCCGGCTGGCTCCTGTTCTCCGGCCGTTTACGGTACCCCCGCCCCCGCCAACGCCACCGTCCCGCACAGCAACTGCCGCCGAATTCGCTACCACCCTTTATCTGTCTCATCCATTGCTCATAGTAGTTCTAGTTACTCTCTAAGAAAATTGCTGGCCGTTTGTAGTGCTATTCCGTTGGTAACACGTCCTCACTTGCTTAGTCTGACAAGTTAGGTGGGTTTCTCAGATATCTCCAGTGCTAAGGTCATCCGTTTTTGGTTTCGGTGGTCCTCAATATAGGTGGGGTCATCCTTAACCCGCGCCCCACTGGGGTCTGTGTATAACACGCCCTACTGGGGGGGGGGGGGGGGCTATTCATAGCCCCCCCTCCTAACTCCGAAACTACTGGGCCGATCGTCAAAATTCAAACGGCGTCTGATAGCCCCGGAAAAACTGTCGAGCGAAACCTAATTTCATTGACCTCGAGGTCACCGATGACGTCACAGGTCAGGTCAAAGTAAAAATTATTAGCACTTTGGCTTGTTCACATTTTGGGCTCTGGCCGCCGTCTTACAAGTCAGATCAGGCTCATTTTTGGTTTCCACACTCGTGAACAGATGCTCTAGATACCTTGAGGGTACCAAACTTGTACTTTGATTTTCAGGTCAGGGTCAGGTCATCACAGGTCACGAAAATATTATATCATGCGTCGGTCACGTGACACATGTTTTATGGTCCATTTAGGCCATAGATTTCGAATTTGATGTCGTCTGTGTCATTCAAGGTCATTTTGAGTCGAAATTAGCTTAGGTCAGGTCACTTTCAGGTCAAAAAAGGTCAAATTTTGAAGTTGAAATTTTTCAACAAAAAAGGTGTCTATTGGATGCAGTTTGAGCTCAGGAACACGATGGTGCCATTTATATTGGTGTACGATGCCAAATACGTACTGAAAAATTAATTTGAAAAATTAATAATTGTGAATTTTTTGCAATAATGCGTATAACTTGGCCATTTTTGAAGATATTTAGCTAAAACTTGCTAGAGTTAGTCATAATCATGCGTTCTGTCACATATATTCCGGTTTTTTCGAAAAGTCAAAAACTTTTTGAAAAAAAATATAAAAATATAAATTTTGAATATTATTATATAAAATTTTCGACATTTTCAAAATTTTGAAAATCCGAGATAGCAGTTTGATAGCGCAGTTAATTCTAAGTTCTTTCATGCAAAGAAATTGGATCTAGCTTAAAAACTGAGCTCTTGGGAGCGATTGCCGTGGTTCAATGTTTTGCGTCGAAATCGGACGAACATGACGTCACTCTGACGTCATTTCCGGCCGACCTATGGTAGCTACGAAGTTCAAATTTTGACACAAGGTGTCAAATTGATGCAGCCGAAGGTACTGAAAGTTTGGCGTCGATTCGTCAAGCGGTTTGGAAGTTATTGCAGAAAAACGGGAGGGGGGGCTATAAATAGCCCCCCCCCCCAGTGGGGCGCGGGTTAAGGATCACTGCCACCAAGGTGTGCTTTCATGCTGGGCAGCAGAGCCAATAGCTTCTTCAGTGCGCTAACACTAACACTGAGCTATAGCCTGCAGAGGCGTCGCAGCATTGCCACTCCTCTGTCGGCTCTCTCCCCTTCCTTCCTCTGCCCTCCGTTCCACCCCAGCTGGTTCAGCCACATTTATCATTGTAATGACGTAACCTATGTCCCGTGTCGTGTGTATGACGTCATACTCGTGTCCTGACCGACTGCCTGTGTTCCTTTGTGCAGGGATATGAGGTCACATGTCTCACGTCCCAACACTCATCCTCCTTATGTATTACATCACACTTTCTGTCGCCAGGCCACCTGTACGCAGTCGACCGCATGGATGACGTCATACCGTCTGCGTCGCGAGAGTGCTTGTGACGTTTATATGACTGCAGTCTTTTCGTCACCAGGCTGATTGTCCCTTCATCGTGTGTATGACGTACGCGTTCCACACGCCGGACAAGCTGTGCTTCATCCTGGACCTGATGAACGGCGGAGACCTGCACTACCACCTCAGCCAGCACGGCGTCTTCAACGAGAACGAGATGCGCTTCTACGGCGCCGAGGTCATACTGGGTCAGTTGGGGTAGAGGTCATATTGGGTCAGTTGGCGTAGAAGTCATATTGGGTCAGTTGGGGGTAGAGGTCATATTGCAGAGGTCTGATACTGGGTCAATTGATGGCAGCGCCGGCTTGGTCCGCTCTCATTTTTATCTTTTCCCTCTTCCTCACTCTCTCCATCTTCTCTATCCTTTTTATCTCTCTCTTCCCTGCTCTAGCTCCCTTTGTCTCCTTTATCTCTCCTTTATCGCTCACTCGCTTATTCACTCACTCACTCAGTCATTCATGGAAGCCTCATGTTTTGATGGGCTTGCCAAAGGATTAGTACTCGTGTTTCCAAATTAGCCTTTGAGGAGGAGTAAATATAAGCAACGTGTTGGAGTGTAAAAATGTTGATGCACTGTCCAGCGGGTCACTAGTGGTATTCTAGATGTCTAATGGTGACGCGGAATCCCGAAAGCTTAGTTGGCCGTACCTGGGCCGTACCCATCATGAAAGGAACATAGTCATTGTCATTTGTTGCGATTTGTAGTCATCGTTTAAGAGCCGCTGTTATGCTTTTGATCATGCGTTGTGAAGATCCTATTATGGAAGGAAGTCCTCACTGTTATGCTCTTCCTCTATGCATAATTGATGTTTAAAATGGATTTGGGGAATATCGGTTAAGTGTTTGTCCTAAGTCTGCTTCATGTATTAGGATCAACATCCAATAAGATGTCTCGTGTGCGATATAGCACATTATTAGCTAATGCTCACATGAATTTAACGCAGTGGTAGGTATGTATTTCATATAAACTGAAGGACACGAACCAGGCAGCTGTTCTAAGAAATATTAAGAGGCTGTTAGCTTTCATTTTACTGTTTGTTGGCGTGGCGGTGGCAGTCCAGCAATAGTCTCGG